ACTGTCTCTATTCCTGTTTAAAGTTACGTCAACTATTTACATGTATATTTTTATGTATGTTCCTTTATGTTTACGTAAACTCTTTTGTTTGGACTTACTAGGCGTAAGCCTAACCCCCTCTTTCTCTCGTTATAACTATTTGCCAGGTTCCTTTATCAGCGGGGCTAAGATGGGTTGAGAGGAGCATTGTCTCGAAAAAGACTTTTGTATAAGCTTTTGGTATTTCGGAGCGTTGCTATATTTGATGTTACGACCTTTGTCGGAGCCTATAGAAACACCCGTCTTTAATCTAGTCATAACGATTGATTAGATTAGTAGGTTGTTATCCATGGCCTCTTTAATTGTTATGTAAACGCTTCATTTTACCCTATTGTTGGGTGAATTTTATATCAAGTTCTAGTTTTCGTTAAATATATATATTTATAGATGTTTTTTTAGGGTGTTACATTATCCAACGGTACAACAACTTTCAAACGCGTTGCATACGTTGAAGAATTGAAGCACAATCTTCTTAGCATCAGCCAACTGTGTGATAAAGATTATACAGTTAAATTCCTCAAGAATTCTTGTCATGTTCTCGACAAAGATGATAAGGTTGCTCTAACCGGTTCTCGTCTAGAGAATGTTTAYATYATCAACATGAATTCTCCTCTCACCGAGAATAGTTGTTTTTTTTCTAAGGCCTCTTCAGATATTAACTGGTTATGGCACAAACGACTATCTCATCTCAACTTCAAGACATTCAGTGAGCTGTCAAGAAATGATCTTATCACCGGTCTTCCTCAACACTCGTTTACAAAGGAATCTCTTTGCTCAGCTTGTGAAAACGGAAAACATACAAGAGCTAGTTTCAAGTCGAAACAAATCTCTTCAGTGACCGCGCCTTTTCAGCTACTGCACATAGATCTCTTTGGTCCTGTCAACGTGCAATCCTTAGCTGGAAAGAAGTTCACACTTGTCATTGTTGATGAGTATGTCAGGTATACTTGGGTATTCTTTCTAAGATCCAAGGACGAAGCACCTGAAGAAATCATTTCGTTCATCAAAAAGATAGAAGTACTAAACAATGTTAAAGTACGCTCTATTCGAAGTGACCATGGTATTGAATTCAAAAACAGTACTATGGATAACTTTCTTGAAGACAAGGGAATCTCTCACAACTTTTCTTCTGTGAGAACTCCTCAGCAGAACGGGGTCGCTGAAAGAAGAAATCGAACAATCATAAAGGCTGCTCGATCAATGCTCAGCGAATCTCGTCTTCCAACTCAATTCTGGGCTGAAGCCGTCAACAATTCTTGTTTAACTCAAAACCGATCGCTGATCGTAAAAAGATTCAAGAAGACGGCCTATGAACTCTTCCATGGACGAAAGCCCTCAATAAGCTCTCTTCACATATTTGGTTGTACCTATTACATTCTCAACAACCGCGACCAACTTGGAAAGTTCGATCCCAAAGCTGATGAAGGAATCTTTCTTGGATATTCTTCCATATCCAAAGCCTTCAGAGTATTCAACAAACGAAGACAAACAATAGAGGAATCTATTGATGTCACTTTTGGCGAATCTCAATCAGCTAATTCAAAACCCATCTCTTTTGATGA